CCATGGCTGTAGCTGAACAGCCTCTAGACCTTGGGTCCAATCATACTCTAGTAATAGAAAGTTGGCTGAGTTTGAGTCTATTGTTTTTTGTCCTTAGTCTTTGAGGGCTGCTCCTCAAGTTCTCTGTAGAATATAGTTTGAAAATCCTGGTCCATCCCACAAGTAGCCACTGATCTAGCATTCTATCCAAATTCGGTAAAGAACAGGGCTGTCAAACTCCCGTCTCATGGGCCGGATGCATCACATGCTGGCCATGTCCATGTCTGGTTTAGCAAAGAGGAAAAAAATGCCTGATATTTCACCTGATGCTGCCATGACGACGCGAGTTTGACACCCCTGATATAGAACATCTAATTGTGTTGCTGCTGGCTAAGGGCGCCCTCCTAATTTGGCTTTCACCTGCTCCACAGGAAGAAACCGAATCCCTGAAAGACAAACATGGAGTCTGTCGTCTTCCTATTTTTAAATATCACACAAGAGAAGCCAATTCTCCTGATTGGATCCTTGGTGCTTGGTTTTTGAAAGTGTTAGTTGACTCTGCTATTACTGGGCGTGATGAATCAAGCTAACTTTCCTTTATTCTTTTCCTGTTGGGATGTCATGGTGCAATTTCCCCACAGTCTCCATGCCTCTTCTTAGTACATTATGTACATTAGTACATTATAGAATCACATGCACTTGGAGATATGGGTAGAGCAGAACATGTTTTAAATTACCATATTTTTCGGAGTATAAGACGCACCGGAGTACAAGATGCACCAAGATTTTGAAGAAGCAAATTTTTTAAAAAGTAGGTAGGTAGAGGGATAAAGAGATAGAGAAATACAGTAGGGAGGGAGGGAGGAGAGGGGAGAGAGAGAGTAGGTAGGTAGGTAGATAGATAGAGGGATAGAGATATATATATAGAAAGAGATAGAGAGAGAAATATAGCAGATAGATAGGTGTTTTTGCTGGCACAGCACTTGATCAATGTAATTCTCATCAATCAATTAAAGAGCTTTCCAAAAGGGGGTGGGGAGTATTTTCACTCTGCAAACCTCCCAATAATGCCCCGCTTTTCCAAATAAAAGGCATAAATAGCCTGGGGGGGGGCTTGCACAGTGCTCTGGGGGGTGCTCCTGCGAGCAAGGGGTGCCCCATAACCAGCAAAAAATGGCCCATTTTTTGCCAAAAAAATCAAATGCATAGCCTTATGGAGGCTTATAGAGTCCTGCTGGGGGCTGGAGGGGGGGGGGAAATGGCCATTTTGGTGAAGGGGGAGGGGCTTCAGGAGGGGAAAAATGCTGTATTTAGTGTATAAGACTTTGAGGAGGGGCAGCTCAGTACTTCTAAAAGACAATTTTCAGCCTCTTTTTTGAGGAAAAAAATGTGCGTCTTATACTCTGAAAAATACGGTAATCCATAATTGAGAATCCCAGGTCTGCAGTGTGCCTGGTTACAGAGAAGATTCAGCTTGAAAATAATTATGTTCTTTCTTTCTTAAGTAGCTTAATTATATTCAATTCAGGAAATGCCTGAATTGGGCTAAAAGCACCTATGAAAATATCCCATACAAAATTTTGTTTCACATCCAACTGTGTTACTGTTAAGTTAAGGTGCTAGGCACTACATGGTCTTTTTACTGTTGTTTTAGTGAAAAACAAAATAAACCAAATGCATATTTAATTGTTCCCTTTTATTAGATCAAAGAAGAAGTTAACAATGAATATGATTTTCCCGAAAAAAATCCAACAAGTTGCAAGGATGCAAGCGAAGAAAAACGAACATTCCTGGTGACATTAAGTGGAGATGGGAGGAAACATGAAGTGAGAGGCAGACTTACCGACAGTCTGCTGAGTGCCCTCAAGTCTAGTACATATATTTGTGACTGGATGGAGAGAAAAAAGGGGGTAGAGTTCCACTTAATAGAGAAGAAAGAGCCTTGGAATGTCTGTGTCAATATGGGAATGCCTTTAAAGTATGTACCTGATCGCTCACAATTTGAATTGAAGTCCTACAATGCAACTAATGAAAGGTGGTATCGCCAATATGATGATGTAAAAGACGAATGTATAGTGTTCTGTGTCCATAAAAAAGTTTCTAGAATGAAAAGCCGTAGAGCACAAAGAATTAGGTTAATCAAAAACCGCGACCTACTTAAAGAATATTGCATACTTTGTATCTGTGCCCCTAAAGGAGAATCCATAAAAGATGCCCTGTGCAATGATGGCCGCTTTCTGCCATTCCTGAAAGAAGAGAATTGGACTCTGGAGGACGGTGCAACAATCATAGATAACAATTTTCCAGTTGACAACTTATCAGGTCAGGTTTATAATATTGGGGTGGAGCCTAAGCCAGAGCCGGATTGTGAGATGGGACAGGTCAACGCTAAAAGACAAAAGCTGCAGGACTCTGAATTGGGGGTCCTACACTTGTATCCTAAGCTGAAGGAAGAAAGAGAAAACATTGCCAAATTTTTGAGATATAAAAAGGATAAACTTGAAGCTTATAAAAGAAACTATGGCAAGGAGATGAATGGCTCTCTTTCCTGCAAGTTGGTTAGGATTCTTGCTAAAAATATGGATTCAGTTGGATTTATAGGGAGGAGAATCTCAGGATACTTTCAATGGGTTGGAACTTGCTTCGTTCTCCGTGGTAGATATATATTAACGTGTCACCATGTAATAAGGGACATAGTTGGAGAAGGAATTGAACCAAAGGACTGGGGAAATAGAATTAAGCAGTTAGCCCGTGTAACTTTCTGTTACGAAACTTTCTCTTATGAAGAACCTCATCGTATGGAACCATGGTTCTCATTGGAGAACTGGTTTGAAATAGCAGATGAGGATCTTGATTTTGCTGTGCTGAAATTGGAAGAAAATGGAAGTAATAGTCATCCTCCACCAGGACTGTTGCATTTACTTTCCCCACCACAACTAAATGGTCCCATTTTTATCATAGGTCACCCCAAAGGAGAAGTCAAGTCTATGGATGTTTGTCTTGTTGTCAGTATACCTGAACGTGACAAGGCAATTGGGGATCATTTGCAGAAACATAAAGATATCTGTGTGTGTAGTTACAGGCCAGAGAAATGCATCCATAGGTATAATCCAGAAAATTTTAAGAGATATAGAAATGATCTTAACATTGTCACTTATGATACCTGTTTTTTCAGGGGGTCATCGGGTTCACCGGTGTTTAATCAAAATGGGGAGCTTGTTGCTTTGCACGCTGCTGGATTTCTTTATGAAAAGAATCACAAAGAATGCAGCATAATTGAATTGGGCTATTTAATTGACTCAATTATTTTAAAAATTAAATCCACATTTAAACCTTGGTATGATGCTATAATTGCTCCTGATGAGGATGCATTTGTGAGTGAAGCAGGGGAGGAAATGGATTGCAATTAATATTATATTGCTAAAGTTCAGGCGACTTCTCCAAAAAATGAAATTGCTTGAGCGAAAGTTATCTGCAAAGGTTCTGCTTTCTTTGCTTTTCTTTGGATTTATAACAGTTTCTGACATTTATTTTCAAATATACAGACTGAACATTGCTGCCACTCTACGTTAAATCTTTCAAACAATGCCTCAAAGTTTAGTGTCCATTGCATTTTTAGAACTCACGGTAGCATACATTATTTTGTAGTTGTCTATTTGTACTTCTGTTATGCAAACACTGTCTTATATTATTTGGGAGAGAAGAAGAGTGGAACTAAAATGAGATCACAGTTAGTGGCTTACAACATTTTCTAGTATCATCCAGTCATTAATGTGGTGATGTAAAGGCTGTCCTTTTCACTGTTGTTTTGGCAGAACAATGGTTTGGTGATTATAAAAGATACTAGAAAGGTATGTTCCTCACTGCTGAGTCAGGGCATTATCCACCCATCCTTGAATTGGGAGAAAATTGAATTGCCATCTTATTTTACTTCTTGCCTTTGCTTTCAGTCACAGTCAGTTGCTTGCCTTCTCTTCAAGGTAACAGTCTTAGATTTTACAGTGTTGAAGCTGCAGTTTGATGGTGTTTGAATAAGGGAAGAAATGCAGCTAAGGATGACTTCAACCTTACCCTAATTGTGAGTAAAGGACAGAGACTGAGAAAAAGGCTATTTCAAGAAAGAAGAAGATGATGATGCCAGGATATGGTGCCATAATTAGATGCAATTAGG